AATTGAGTCACTGAGCAACCGTAATAATGAGCGGACCGATAACAATGAGCCGACTAATTCCTTGAACTGATAATAATTGAGCTGACACAATGAGTTAGTCCGAGTCACTCGAGATGAGCAGTACAATAAAAGAAGTGTCTCTAACTAGATCCCGGAAACGAATGAGAGAGAGACACGGGCTTACAGGTGCCACGTGCCCTAATTCCATGGTCACATGACCTAATTTAATATAGATCATATGGTAATTTAGAGCGGTCCAGGAAGTGGCGCCTCAGGTGCTGGAATTAATAACCCCCAGTCATCTGAGGTGAGCGCGTCAGGTGTGCGTGAGTGGGGAGAGAATGGATGAGCCTTGCGTGCGTTAGTGTGAGGGACCTGTCAGCTGACAGGATTTCCAACATTCTCCCCGGCCGTCGGCAACTGTAAAGTTGTTGACGCAACCATAATGAGTAGAGCCATGGTGAGCTGAAACAAAAAACAAAATTCAAAACGCTCTTTGGTGAGCTGTCGGAGCTTGTCACCCATGAGTGAGTCCGTGAGACCGTCCGGAAGGTGCGCTGGCTAGGCATGGCAGCATCCTAGACGTCGGGGGTCGTAAATCCCTTCTGCGTTGGCTGCTGTCATTCTCACGTTGAACCCCGTCGGTTGGTCAGGGTCGTAAATCCGTCGAAGTTGACGAAGTCCAACGGTGAGAAGCCGGTGAGCTGTCCTGGTTCTATTCCCCTGAAGGTGAGATGGGCAAGAGGACGAGCTTGGCGATTGGCCTTGTCAGCGTCGTCTGAGCAGTCCTGATGGTGACTACCCTGGTGAGTCCGTCCGATCCTGGGTGCAGAGCGGTCACTCGGGCGAGAGGCCACTTCGCTGGCGGGAATCTCTCGTCCGTGAGTAGAACCAGTGAGCCGATCCGTATCTGATGAGTCGGATGGTGCCACTTGGATATCGCTTGAAGACGTTGGAGATATCCCGTGGACCACCTCTTCCAGAATCCTTGAAGCTTCTGCTGAATGAGCTGCCATCTAGAGAGCCTTGAGACGTTGAGTTGCTCTAAAGATGGCTCTGGAAGAGTCGTGGGAGCCTGACCGATGAGAAAATGCCATGGTGTCAAGGCTGAACAGTCATCAGGATCATCCGTGAGCGGTTCCAGTGGTCGTGAGTTGAGCACTGCCTCGATTTGAGCGAGCAAAGTGGTGAGTTCCTCAAAAGTGAGCAGATCCTCTCCGATCGTCCGGGTGAGATGGAACTTCACCGACTTCACCGCCGCTTCCCATTTCCCTCCAAAGTGCGGAGCACCTGGAGGATTGAAGGACCACTGAGTCCCATCATTGATGAGGAGCTGTGCGAGCTGTCTTGATTGAGCTGATCCTGACGAGAAGAGCTTCTTTAGTTCCTTGTCAGCGCCAAGGAAATTGGTCCCACAGTCACTGAACAAGGAATGAGCGATCCCACGCCGACTTGAAAAGCGTCTATACGCCGCGATGAACCCCTCGGCTGAGTAGTCTGACACGACCTCGAGATGGACCGCTGAGGTGGTCATGCAGACAAAGATAGCCAACCAGCCTTTGTACGACTTGTGTCCCCGCCCTTTCCAGGACCGTAGAGACACTGGGCCGGCATAGTCGATCCCAGTGTTGAGAAAGGCTCGAGCGGGAGTGAGTCTGGCTGGTGGCAACTGGCCCATGAGCTGTTGAGCGCGTACTCCACGTTGGCGAGTGCAGTTAACGCACTTGAGGATGAAGGAGCGTACTGGTGCTCGACCTCCGAGTATCCAGTAGCTACTTCTGAGCTGCCTGAGGGTGAGCTGTGTGCCTCCGTGGAGTGTCCTTAGATGAGCCTGTCCGATGAGTAGCTGAGCCAGTTGAGATTCCTTCGGAATAATCACTTGGTTCCGGCTCTCCGGGCCTATGTGAGCAAACTTGAGCCGTCCTCCTATCCTCAATACCCCTTGGCGATCGATGAAGGGTGTGAGCTTGGTGAGGGGGTGGGATTTGCTGAACCTTTCCCCTCGTGAGATCGCTCTGAGTTGATCCTTGAAGTGAGCTGCCTGCGTGAGTTTGATCCAGAGGATGCGAGCCTCTTCAAGATCACCAAGAGTGAGCGGGTATCGAAGAGAAGAGTTGGGGGTTTTCCTGAGCCGAGCTATGAATCGTCGACAGATTGCTGTGACCCTGAGCAGTCGGTTGAACGATGAGAATCTGTCGACGAGATTCCAGAGCGCGATTGGATGAGCTTTTACATGTAGGAGAACTCCTGGCTTTTCCTCGAGGTCTGCGCTGAGGTCTTTTTCCAGAGCGTGAGTTGGCCATGATGAGCAGTCTTGATGAAGCCATGGTGGCCCTTTCCACCAGAGCTTATGAGATACCAGTTGGTGCGCTGATAGACCTCGAGATGCACAGTCTGCAGGATTCTCCTTGCCCGGTACCAATCTCCAATGAGCCTGCTGAGTGAGCTCCTGGATGAGTGCCACCCGATTTTTCACGAACTCCTTCCATCTTGAGGAGTGTGAGCTGATCCACGTGAGCGTGACCGATGAGTCGGTCCAGAGATAGGTGGTGGCGTTCGTGAGATTGAGTTGGTCCTTGACGTACTTAGTCAGTTTGGCCAGGAGGAGAGCCGCAGTGAGTTCTAGTCGTGGGATTGTCAGCCGTTTGAGCGGTGCGACCTTCGTTTTTGAGCAAACCAATGTGAGTTGTGATTTTCCCTTGTTGAGAACCTTGAGATAGATCACGGCTGACATCGCCACTTGTGATGCGTCGGAAAAACCGTGTACTTCGACGACGGAATCCGTGAGCAGTCCAAGCCACCGAGGTATGGTGATCTCTGATAACTGTGTGAGCTCCTCCCTGAATTGGCTCCATCGTTGAGCAGTTGTGTGGGAAACTGGTTCGTCCCATCACAGTTTCTCGATCCATAGAGCCTGGAGCAATATCTTCGCTCGTATGACCACTGGCGCTAGAAAACCCAGTGGATCGAAGAGTTGAGCCGTTTCCGATAAAATGATTCTCTTCGTTATTGAGCTGGTCTCAGGCTGAGTGACGGAGAACTTGAAGTTGTCCGTTCCAGGATGCCAAGAAACCCCTAGAATCTTGGTGAGCGAGTCCTCTATGAATCGTTGTTCTTGAGAGGTGCTGTCAGGTTGAAGAGATGTGAGTAGAGCTGGGCTATTTGAGTGCCATTTGGCTAGCAGAAAGCCTCCTAACCGACAGAGCTGTGTCACCTGATGAGCGGTCCTGAGTAGCTCTTCATCTGAGTCAGCACCCCCGCAGATATCGTCAACATATCGTCCTTTCATGAGCGGTTCCACAGCGAGAGGATAGTTCGATCCTTCATCCTCAACGAGCTGATGAAGAACACGCATTGAGAGGAACGGAGCTGACCTAGTGCCATATGTGACCGTGGTGAGTTGATAGGTGGCGATATCTCCGTTTGAGTCGGTCCAGAGTATTTGTTGGAGTGGCCAATCTTCCGGATGTACCCGAATTTGACGAAACATCTTGGTTATGTCCGTCATGAAAATGAGCCGTTTCCGCCGAGAAAAGAAAAGTACATCCGAGATATCCTTCTGCGACTTCTCACCCGTGGGCATAATCTCGTTCAACGATCGTCCTGAGCTGGTCTTGTTGGAGCCGTTGAAAACAACTCTGAGCTTCGTTGTCTCACTGCTCGCCCTGAGAACTCCGTGATGAGGGAAGAAATATTCCGGAGGAGCGTCAGCCCGAGAAGAACACGGACGGCCCGAAACCCTCAACCCTCCTGAAGCCGAGGCCTCATGTGCTAAGGTCATTTCGGTGCCCGTGCCCCCCCCCCCATTGAGCTGGCGCTGATGAGCTGATCTAGCGAGCTGTCCGGAGACTCGACGCATGTGGCCGAGCTCTTCATATTCCCTGAGGAAGTCCGTGTAGAGCTGACGATAAACCTCATCACGTGAGAGTTTCCTGAGCAGACGATGGAGGCAAGCGAGTGCAGACGATCGTGAATCTCCTAGCGAGGAAACTGGAGATTTGAGCGGTATCCGAACAATGTAGCGGCCAGATGCATCTCGTGAGTGGGTCCGTTGAAAGTGTTCTTCACACTGCGCTTCCTCCTCGTTGAGCTGAACCTCTGGTGTCCCAGGGATCTCTTCCTGGATCCAGAATTTGGTGAGCAGTTCGTTGAGATCCTCGTTGGTGACCGTTAGATGAGAAGTTGCTACTTGAGTAGTATCAGGACCTTCCGTTGGTCCGAATACGATCCATCCAAGTCGCGTGAGCTGAGCCGATGGTGAGTTTGGTCCATTGGTGATGACTTGTGGTAAGATGAGTTGTCCATAGACATCAGCGCCAAGAAGGATGTCAATTGGTGCTGGTGTGAGAACATCGGGATCAGCGAGCTGGAGTCCTTCCAGATGATCCCATGTGAGCTGACTTGGTGAGAATGTCGGTAATGAGGTTGTGAGCTGGCCGAGAGCATAGGCAGAAACTCTGAGCTGAAAGTGAGAGCAAGTGGACTGTATTGTGAGCCGAACCTTGCCTAATGCCGGCCCAGATGCCGTGTCTCCAATCCCCGATATTCGTAGCTGTGTCTTGAGCCTTAACAGCCCAAGCTGACGAACGAGCTGGTCTGAGATGACGGAGATTTCCGACCCTGGATCGATGAGTAGACGAACCTGATGAGCTGGCTGATCTGGGCGTACCAAAAGCGCAAGGCTGGTAGCCAGAAGGACCCCAGGGCGGAAGTCTGGAGCGGATCCGGAATCTGAGTGGTGACCTGAGCAGGAGACGGCAATCTGAGCTGGTGATCTTCATTCCGACGACGTTGACTGGCCTTGGTCACCAGTCACCACCATGGGGATGTCGTTCTCGTGGGTGTAGGTCACCACCGGAACGGCCTTTTCCTGGGTCGAGTTGGTCTGTTGCCTCTGCTGAGCTGGACGTTGAGGCTGACTCGATGTCTGGTTGTGGAGCATCGAGTGGTGGAGGCCCCCGCAATACTTTCCGCAATTCGTTTCCGGGATCGTAAGATTCGCGATGCGTTGAGCTGGCTCCCCTGAGAGACTAGTACGAAGATAATGCATCTTCTCCACGTTGGATAGATCCTGGAGAGTTATTCAGGCTAATGGTCGCCTCAAATGATGCCATAATTGAAAATNTGGAGATTGTGAGGCTTTTCGCCTCTTCTGTGAGCAGCTCCTTGTAAACGCGTTCGATGAACGCTGCCCGAGAGTTATTCAGGCTAATGGTCGCCTCAAATGATGGCATAATTGAAAATAAGTGCGCAGCTCAAAAAAAAGGAATGAACCGGAAAAACCTAAGTAAGGCGACCCCAAAAGCCAAGCAGTGAGCAGTGAGAAGCGATAAAATTGAGTATCCGGTCGGTTGAGCGGCAACAGTAATAACACCGAAGAGTCTTAATTTAGTAGGTAGCAGCAGTGAGCGATTCCGTTGAGCAGGCGCGAGAATTTATTGAAAAATTCAAAAAAAAACGAAAAAGGGTTGGAAAATATAAAGGGAGCGGTAGCCAAAAAAAACAAAGTTGAATGCTCCAAAAAATTCAAAAAAAAATAAAAAAAAATGGCAAAAGTAGCAAGAGGTAATTAAATGCTACTTAGCCGAGTGAGTGATGTTGAGCTGGATCAGTGCACGAACGCTGCAGTTGAGAAAAAAGTCCAAAGTCCCGGGGATGAGCTGCTCCAAAATTCGAATATTCCCGCGGGCCGGTAGAGCAGTTCCCTGATGATTGGAGAGCTGGACTGGTTGAGGTCCACTGCGTACGCTGAGCCAACGAGCTGGTCCCCGTAG